TTCCCCAACATCTGTTTTCTGCTCTCACCTCCATCTTTCTAATAACATTGCTGTGAAACTGATTTTGTTCACTGTGCAATTGCTGCAGCTCACAGCCACGTACAATTTGGCACATGGCAGATGTGCCTATATGTCAGGTGCACACTTTCCAGTCTACTGCAAAGGATGCCATTGTGCTCATAAATGTGAGCAACTCAAGGGCTATGTTCTTTGCTCCTTCAGTGTCATTGCAGGATTACATCTGAGCAGAACAAAATCTACCTCCGTGGCAATAGAAATAGTGCCTGAAACATAAACATGTGAAGATGCATGTACCTGTACAACAGGTACCTTGCTAACGCAAGATCGAGAGGCACAGAGCTGTGGTGGTAGCGTCATGATTAAAGAAATAGGCTCTGGGAGAAATCTCTCACATTTTAGTACTTACTCATTTTCCCAACATTTATAATTTCTTACAACATGGACTATGTTGACGTGAAATGACTGTTTTGAACAACTTGGCCAAGTAGACTTATAATTTTCACTGCTACAGTTCCAGCTGGAAATTTACCTAGTTGTAATTGTTAGGGACACCTATCCCAGGCAAATAAAGGGCCATATCCTTGTGATGCCAAAATTGAAGCATTCTCCTCACATGAAATTCACAAGTACCAGATAATTCCTGAGTGCTTAAAAACTGGTCCCACCAGAGATGACTGTTCAAGATCAAATCAGAGATGATCTAAGATTAAGATCAGAGATGTTGAAGATCATAGATCTTATAAAATCATATATCCTCAGGAGTGGCATAGACCCTAGATATCTAAAAGTAAAGGAGTCCAATATACTCCGAACATGTCCCCAGAAATATCAAGACAACAAAAAGCTCAAAAGAACATTTTGGAATTCTATCACCACATGGTTTTTTAAAGGCTCTGTCCAACAAGAGATTTATAAAATGCACATTAACAACAAGAATCCTTATATAAAAGAACCCTTATATAAAAGGATGTATTGGGTAAAATTGGGCATTTCTGTGGTTAGCCCTAGAAGCCTTTTATTTATACAAACACTAGGGTTCGGAACACAATAAAACTTGAAATTTCAATGAAAATGTTCAATCACTTCCAATCAACTTAAAGAATTTGACTTTGGTCCAATGTGACCAATGATTTGTTTATTGTGTTTCCTTAATTCCTGCCTTGTCAAAGGAGTGGGCACTGAGGTTCTCATCAGACTGACAGTCACCACCCCAGCCTTCTGGCAGGGCAGCCTATTTCCTGCCCTAACTACGTTCCCCAGGACGGTCAAAGAATCCTGATATAATTCTAATCGATTATGTCTCAGGCACTCAAAACCTCCAAATCCTCATCTTCTTAGAGTAACAAAGTCCTCAGCACAGACTACAAAACCAGGTCCCCCGATGCCAGCTCCCATGCTCTTCTGAATTCTTCTCACTCTCCTCAAACCATGATGACCGTTGTTGAGGTCCTTTAAACAGAAGCTGAACGCTCACCTATTAAACGTGCTTCCACCTCTGATAGCGTCCCCACTCTGGGCTTGTACCTTTCCTGTTTCCTCTTTTATAAAAATGCCGCCAAATAGCTCCACGAGTCTTTTTCTCACCTCATGTAATTCTCTACTCAATTATTAGTTTAGGGGTAAGGGGCCCTGTGGTTGCATCACGTAGAATCACACACGGTGCTTTCCCTTTTCCCGTGCCCTGCTTTATTTCCACCCGCGTTTTCTCAGTCTGTAAGAGCTCTATGCAGCCATCAGTAGTGTTTTTCTCATTATTGTGGTCTCTGACACAAATATTTGTTGAACTGATGAAGAAATGAAGAATAAATGAGTGGGTGAATCCTTTTACCCTCAGTCATTTCCAAAAGCTGCACAGCAATATGAATAGGTAATATAAATTTTCATGTCCCTGAGAAAAATCAATGGAGCCTTTAAGTTCACGTTTATAATTTTAACCGCAAAATAAAATCTGTGTGACAATCCCCTCTCTTCATTGATTACCCTGTGGCCCGTAGCACTTTAACTCTCTACTCCACAAAGCGCTCTTAGTACATTTTCTTAGGCGTGCTGTTATTAATTATTGATTCACTGCTTGTGCCAGTTTCCTTGTGCCACTGCGGGGCTCTTTCCACACACAGTGTCTCTCCTAGGCACCCACAAACTCCTAGATCGCAGGATCGTTTCCCTAGTATGTGCAGTAAAGCACCTATCGCTGAGCCATATGCATGCTTTAACCTGATAAAAGCCTTTTAATGATGAATTAGATTTTTATTTCAGTTCATTACTCCTGGATTTTCAGGCAATGTTCCGGATTTCATGCTTTTGTTTGTAATAAGTCATGGCCCCCTTGACAAACAAGAGAGTAATTAAACTAACCAGGGTATCAATAGATGCTTGCGGTGAGACCCCCGTTGCATATGGTGATTTCATCTTCAATAATAGTTGCATATCAGGAAAGAAGACAGGCTGGGGCTATGAAAGCCTGTGGGGACATTCGTGAAAATACAGTCCTGCCTGTGTCTCTCAAAGCAAAACTGCATCATCATAATGGACAGATAGGTAGGGTTTATGTATAGATGACTATACTATCATTTACAGATTTCTACTAAATATTTGCTTAAGAAAACATTGAAAATACTAAGTAATTTCTTAAATTGTGTTTATATATATTATATATATATTTTTTATGTATTTAATATATATAATATATATATATATATATGTATAACTGGGTTTGTACATGTATATGTGTGCATATTTATCTGCTAACATTTTTTTCATTTTTCTCACCAACTTCTTAGCAAATACTTTCATAAAACCATGATTGTGAATTTTTTCTAGAAGTATAAATTGAATCTTTACTATCAATAAAAATGCCACAAATTGAGAAATACCACAATGCTATTATTTCAAAATGAAGTATCACCCTTAACAGGACAGGTTGAATTTACTAAGGTATTTTTTAAAAGGAAAGGTAATGCTCTGTTGTAAGATTATTGACAGTTTTTGTATCATGACACATCGTAAAAAACATTAAACATAGATCTTCTGCATTACTTCTCAAAGAAACTTCAGATATATCCCATACACTCATTTACCCAGGTCATTTTTCTGAGTGAACTCCTGTTTGCATTTTCAAGATTCCAGGTGTATTACACTCCCTGCAATAGTTTTATTTAAATATGCACAAGAGCTCAGTGGAAAAGGAAATACTTATGAGAAAGCACATATATACAACTCTGACTATTCGCACTCAAAACCATCTCCCCTCTCCATAAACGGGAATTCCAACTAATTTCCAGGTTACTTAAACCAAATAAAGTCACCTTGAGTCCTCTTTTTTCCAATCTCATTTCTCCATCAAAAAATCTTATTGAGCTCAGCTCTGTAATAGACCCCAAACCCATCGCTTGCTGTTGCTTCCACTGCTGCCATGCTGTAAGAACCGCCCACCTGCTTGCTCAGAGTCCCACCTACTCCCACCTCTCCTATCCTGGCCTTCCCCAGATCTTTCTTTAGCTCAGAATCCAAAATGATCCTTGGATCACAGAAGTTAGGTTTTTCGTCTTCCGTAGGGGTTCACCGGTTCCTTAACATGGTCCTCAAAGTCCTCGCTGCTCCCCAGAGCCCTAACCCTAGCTGTGTTCCCTTTTTTCTCTTGACTGTTTCACAAACCATCCAGGACTGCTTCAGTCTTGGGCCCTGCTGCATGTTTCTCTTCCTCCAGGAAGGCTATCTCTAGATTCCAGAAACGCTCACTCACCCATCTACGTGTGGTCTCTTCAGGAATCCTTCCTCCCCGGGGAGCTCTATTCAGATTATTCTATACACAATTGCATTCTATTATTGCACACATTTTTCCAAGTTTTCTGTTGTAAGGGGGTTTTGTCGGTTTTAACTTTGGCATATTCCTTGGCATCGCCTAACATTTTATTTAGGCCGATTGTGACTTCTTTTCTCTTTAGTCTATCTCCACATGCTTCACCCCCTTCTAGAAAGTAAGCTCAATCGTGCCAAGAGCTTGACCTTTGTGTGCCTTCGGAAACGCCTGACACACACTGACGGCTCGATGAGCAATTGATGAATAAAGGACGGGCCATGCTATGAAAAAGCTCTGCAACCATCGCTCTCTGTGCTTTGATCTCTGAATGTGCAAAGGTGAATCAGACACTTGCCCTCTCATCAGGGAGCTGACAAGAGGCTCGGCATATTCATAAATAATGACAGTACAAGGGAGACAGTATATGATATAAGTGATTCAGATAAACTACTTAGAGAAAGGAAAGCCATTTCAGCTAGAGCAATAGTGAAGGGTTTGGAGACAGTAACATCACAAATAAGCAGTGAATCTGTGGAAACGGAGGCCAATCACATCCAGGGAGAGAAATCACATAACGAAATCGCTACATTGCTAGAGCCCAAGGAGAAACAGAATATCCGAAGAGCCTATTTTGACCCAGCATGGCTGACTTCAAATACAAATTCTGCAACTAAAGTAAGCATGTGACCTTTGACAAATTATTTCACCTCTCTGAGCTTCCATCTTGGCATTTATAAATGAGGATGATGCTGCCTAGTTTATAGCATGACTGCAAGGAGATGAGGAACATAAAGCACCCAGCCCAACAACTCGTCCGGTGACCTCGTGGTGGAGGGGAGCTGTTGTGGGAATCTGGCTGAGGTACTGACGAAGTGTTCCCCTCGTCGTGCCATTTTCCCAATAGGGAGAAAGGCCGAAATGCATTGTATTCACTCTGCACTCCCTGAGAACATTCTTCTATTGTCCAAGTTGAAAAATGAAGCCAGAAATGACTAGTCTTGTACTTTGAAGCATAAAATACCGGAAATGTGGTGCATTCACCTATCAGACGTAAGAGTGCTTTGAATTTAGAAGGAGTGAAAATATATGTATGTTCTATTTCTGCGGAAGATTATTTTTCCTTACCTGCCTGGGTTTTGTATACATAACATATATTTTTGTGTGTGTTTCTTTTTTCCAGTTGCTCCTACGATTCAGGAAATTAAATCTGGCACTGTGACGCCCGGACGCAGTGGACTGATAAGATGCGAAGGTGCAGGTGTGCCGCCTCCGGCCTTCGAATGGTACAAAGGAGAGAAAAAGTAAGGACTTTGTGATTTTTATTACCGCATTTCAAGCACCGGTGCTGATGTTTGTGTTTCAGACACTTGCTTTAAGTGGTTTCTTTAACGGGCTTGAATGATTCTCAGCAGCCTCCTTACCAGCAGGAAGACTGAAGGGGTCCACGAGAGAGAGTTGAGCAGCCTCCGGAAGAAATGTCCGCACTGGTCGCCAGTGCATTTCATTTCTTTCCCCCTTCTGAGGCAGCACACCGAGGGGCTTCCTGTCAACCATGCCTGCTTGGGAAGTAAGCCCACCTCTGAAGGGCTTGGGCATAGCTTCCACAAGAGCCCTTTAAAAACAATCGGAGCTCTGACTCCTCCTGGCTGCCTTGATAAGCCCTGACCTTTTCACCTGGCTTTCTCTCCCACAAGACAGGGTCACATTTTGTTTTATAAGACTCTGTGTTTAGATATTCTGTCACAGAGGAGGCTGTAGAAGAGCTCAAATACGTAGTTAGAGGACTAAGCAAGGGCGTTTGGGACTACTCTAACTTCAGCCCTGTGTGATTGTGCCCTTGAGAAAGCTCAGAAGCCGTGGCAAGAGGTACTGAGCAAGAGAAGACAGCATTTGACAACTTCTCTTTACTTTCAACCAATGGGCTCAATCAGACCTCTTCCACCACTCTCTTACCAAGCCGCTGGAAAAGCCTGGGATCCTTTGCTTAACTGGGAGGGGAAGACATAATCCATAGGTGTGTTTGCTTCCAAGCTTGGGAGGGTCATAGTAAAGAAAATGTTAGACTGAACCATACTAAATCTCTTTATATCCAAAAATACTGGCAAGTCCATCGTCTTCAACATATGTCTATGGGTCTTACACAGACCATGACTCTTAATTAATTGCAGTTAAATATCTGAACAGAAAATTAGAGAAATTACACAAGATCTTGCATGTTGCCACAATAGTAAAAATAAATCGGTGATATAAGCAGGTAGTTTGTTTTTGACATTTGAATCGAAAGGTGATTTGTGGAAGGCACTCTCCCAGTTAAACGTAAGACTAAATAGTAAAGGCTATCCTCGTAATCTTCTCAGTGGTAATGAATAACTGATTGTGAATTTACCTAAGGGTTTGGTAACTATTTTATGTCCACTTTCTTACAAGTTGTAGTGTTAAAGTTTAACTTTTTCTTTCTTTCTTTCTTTCTTTCTTTCTTTTTTTTTCTTCCCTTTGGTACCTGGGATCAAACTCGGGACCTTGTCCTTACAAGGCAGGTGGCGGCACCACTGAGCTAAATCCCCAGCCATTAACTCTTTTTATTAATTAATGTTTTTACTAATTCTGAGTCTGCCTCCTTGTGGCTTTGTAGAAGACCCCAAGTTGTTATATCCTAAGAATTGGACTAAGTGGCCTTGCTCCCCTTTACAAGATAATGCATCTGCCAAGATAGGCTGTCTCTGATTCTGTTAATGCAGCTTGAAAATTGCTGTTGTGACGCATCTACACTGACAAGTGCCCCAAAGATTGCTTCTTGACCATTTGAAAGTGATCAAACTTTTAGTTCAAATACAATTTTATTTGGATGCCCAGAAGTAATGTCAATGAGCACAGCCCTTCTTTGGCAGAATCGCTGCCCAATGGAGCCTCAGTTCTACCTTCCAGAACGCCCCTCAATTAGGACATCTTTATCAGAGCCCCCAGTTTCCTGGTTCTCCATAGAATGCAGGTTAAATAATGCTCACCAACTGTTTTATGTGGCTTTCAATTACCTGTCACATCTTCTAAAAGCCAAAGAGTAGAATTATTTCTTCTGGTCCAAGTAAAACTTCCTTTGTTAAAGGCCACCTTGTTTCCAATACTTTTGATGTCTTGAATAGTTTTTCCTTCACTGTTCTAAATTCAGCCTGCTCTCAAAAAAAAAAAAAGGAAAGAAAGAAAAGGGCTATAATTACCCTTAATCCACCTTCTTGTCCTATTGCAAATACAGCCAAGGACCAATGGTACCCATTATCATAGCGTCAGTGATTGTGCTTTTCATACTGGGGAGAGGCACTATCACTTTCTATTAAATTTTCAAAGAACAGAACCACTTTCTTCAAGGGAGAAGTAGATCGATTCTCCCCATTCAAAATCCTGTCCAACATACTCACATACCTAGGGAGACGTCGAGAAGCTGTGAATATCAGACACGCTTGCTTATGAACTGCAAACATGTTTTCAGTTCAGACTGAACTATATATCACTTTTTAGAGTTATTTTTGAGCAAAAATCCAAATTCTCAAATATTACTGGAACACTTGGATTCCTGACTGCTATATTGTTGCCATGCCACTCATTAAGTGGATCTACCATTAAGATCCAGGCTCTTCAAATATTTATCTCATCAAAATGATAAAACTATCCATTACTATCTGTAGTGCTCTAAATTGTTAATAAATATTAACTCATGTATTCTCATAAGTAGGAGAGTGCTATTATTAGTCTTACTTTTGTTTGGGGAAAACAAAGCAAAGCATATTTAAAGCAATTTGCTCAGGTTCATGTAGTTAGCAGCAGAACTATTTAAATTCAAAAAGCTTTGCAAATCTTTACTCAGGGCCTAACCTCTTTACTGTGGAGGCTTTTGTGGGTCTTAGCCCTATAGGTTCTATCAAAAATAAGTTGAAATGTTAATGATAAATGTGAGGTATCATGAAAAATTATGGTGAGTGTTTACAATTTTTAAAAGTTATTCTAATAAAAGACACTTTGGCATTAATCTCCCTTGAAATCCTCCCCTCGTGTGGAGCACATTGAACCCATCACTGTTGCTATGTTCTGTAACAGTCTGGAGGTCCTCTTTCCTGGGCATCTTTAGCTGTTCTGTCCGGGCTGCCTCCATGTTCTGAATTGATACAGCACGTTTGCTTTTCATGATCCTTGTGCCTTGGGGGAAGAGCCACAAGGTACTACATCCAGTGAATAAGGTGAAAGCGATCACACCTCCGTGCTTTCAGGAGCCCGTCTTCCCATTGGATGGCAATCCACAGTATTGGGATCACATCTCCTACAGACATTCCTGGAAGAAGCTTTTCAAAACTACTCTATAAAGGGGCAAGAATGAAAGAAGTGAGCTCAGAGCAAGAGGACGTGGCGGGGAGATTGATGGCAGTGCACCTTTTACCATAATAAATATTTAATTGCAACGTTCACCATATATGTTGATCATTTCTTAGTGGTAAAGGTATTTCAGGTTGATTAGAGATTTGCAAAATTAGAGACTCCCATACAAACAACTAACTAGTAACTTCCCAATTAATTTAGTCAACAGCACAGACGGATAAGACCTGTGGGGTTCACAGCAGGCCCAGATACAGCATCTTTCAGAGCTGTCTTCTTGAGTCCTGATGGGGAACCAGACCCTGTCAGAGGTCCTGTCAGGTCGGAGCTAAACGGCTTCCAGTGCTGAGGTTTTGTTTTCTAGAGATCTTTGTTACTTGGGGCTCATACAAATAACTAGAGATAGTTTGCGCAAGCTTTGTGTTTTTCAAAGCCAGATTTTCATTCAACTAAGGATCCAAACCCAGAGGCTGCTGACACCTCTAGCTATGCCCGTATTTCTCCAGCGTCCTATAAAATCCCTTTCTCTGCCCTGGGAATAATCAGCATGTGGCCCTTAAAAAACATAATTCTAAAATTAAGCACAATTTAGAGAAGAGAAGGAAATGCACACTTATGAAGAAAAAAAAAAACACTTAATATGACTTTACATTTTTTTATGTCCTTTATTTTCCAGATTTCTGTGAGATAAGGATTAACTGTCCTTAATTTCCTGATGACAAAACTGAGATATAAGACACTAAAAATAGCTAGTCCAAGAATACATAGCTTAAAGTTACCACGTTTTAGATCTGGCAGTCTCTCAGCCCATATCCTTTCTCTTGTATCTATGCTACTATTTGTTATTTATGGCTACACTTGATCTTAGCCAAAAGGCTGAGAAGCGGTTGTTATTTATTGCTAATCCACAAATTAACACCAAACATAGCAGCTCAAACCCCAAAACATTTATTATCTTAAACAGTTTCTGCAAGTCAGGAATCCTGGAGTGTCTTCTTTTAAAAATTAAATTGTCTTTCATTTATTTTTCATTGTTTATTAGTACATTTTAGGTATACAATACAGTTACATTCACCATTGGGATCGTGTACCTTTATATGACTTGGTTCTTATTTTTTCCCCATGCCCCAGCCCTCCCTTCACCCCCTCCACCTTCCATGTTTACAAAGATATTGTTTCCATGTTCTTCCTTTTCACGTATTTTTTCTTTTCCCTTTCCCCCATACCTCCCACTTTCTCTACACTTCTAGACCTTTTCTTCCTATTACACAACTGATCCTCATCTACACTTTTAGTTTTCACACCACAGAAACTGGTCAGTATTTACACATGTGTGTCCTATTACTTACCCTTAAGAGGAGGGCCTCAATGCGCATCCACGTTAGCTATAAATATCTCTAGTTTCTCATTCTTTATGACTGAGTAGTACTCCGTTTTATAGAAAAACCACATCTTTATCCAGTCTCCAATTGATGGGCAATTGGGCTGTTTCCAAATTTTAGCTATTACAAACTGTGCCGCTATAAACATTATTTTCTTCATAATAGAGGTCGATAAGTAATATACTTTTTATATGCGATTACAGGATATTTTACAAACCTCCAAAGTACTAATAAGCAAATAATGTCTTTAATGACATGAAATTAAATGAATACATTGACAGCAGTAAAATTCGCTTGAATTAAAGCCAAAACCACAGATTTTAATGAGCTCACATCTCAACAAGTCTAATGAGTCATAGGTTGTGTACGTCTTGTGCCATTTCCGTTGGTTGGAATTTTGTCGTATGCTTATGGACTTTAATCTTTTTCTTGATTTTCTAAAATTCAAGCCTGAGGCCTAGACAGCTGTGACTTCTGGTTTCTCATTGCCAGTCTTTTGGCTCCAGGCTTTTAAATGGTAGATATGTGAATTGTCTTGGATTTAATAATTCCATAAT